AACTAGCTTCATATATAGGTATCATTGCAAATAGGAAAAAAAAGAACTCTAGATCTTAACTGCTCTGCAAGGCAGGAAAGAAAACATCCAAGGAATAAGAAATATTTTTCTCCTAGAGCACTGTAGTGATTTCTTTTTAGGTCAGCATAGGGCATTGTATTTCATGTCGGTGTCACCACTGAAATGTTAGAATGTGGTAGAGAAGATGACACTGTATTCGAGCAGGAGCAGTCTTCATAAGTTTTATCAATATTGTCTAATTTCTTAAATGGCGGGGGCGGTTGTATTGATGAAAGAAATGCTGCATTTCATATTTGGTCCACCATTCATATGGCTTAGTCCTCAACTGTGGCATGCAAACATGTTATGCAATAGAAAAGCTACATTAAAAAATATACCTTCAGTTTCTTTTTGCAATATTCATAGGCCAGCTTTTTGGTAGAATTTTTTTTGTAGCCTGACTACTTCCACATGACACAGGTGCATCAGTCTGATAAAATTGTTCGCTATTAATAGAGATTAAAATATGAAAGGAATCATAGAATTACCTATATGTTAAGTCTAAAATGAAGGTGTGTTGTTGTTGTTTTTTTTGTTTTGTTTTGTGGGTTTTTGGTTTTGTTTGTTTTTCCTACTGATTTAATTGCTGTATTTAATAAAATCCATCGCTTAGCATGTAGGTATGGTTTGCTTTTTATACTTCTGCTTATCTTATTTCTGGAAAAGTGAAGACATCCTCTGATGCATATTCTGCTTGGTCAAATATGCAGGATAATAATACAATCTATTATGTATTGTTACATTCTACTGCTTTTCAATGGAGTATTGTTCTGATGCAGGTTTAAGCTTGTTATGGGTTGCAAAATATCAATCAAAATGTATTTAAGAATTCTTTTGCTGACGGTAACATAACTAACAGCTTATACTAACAAAAATAAAGTTTTAGTTTGAAATTTGTATTTTTCTTTCCATCTCAGTCCTGTCATTCTTAAAAGACTTAGTTTTGCATTTAACAGTGTGAAGTAGTATGAATAAATGGGAACTGTTTGAGTAATTGAGAATTTTCTCAGCTAGTGCAGGTGAGGAGCCAAATAGATTAAAAACTGCTCTTCATAGTTAAAAGGATAATGACCACCATAACCACTACAAATACAATAAGAACTGTTAATGGGACCAGTTTCAAATGCCATCACATGAAGATGACTATATGAACTTTTCCCTAGTTCATCAAGCCTGAACATGATCCCGGTAGAAATTTAGTTATACTACCATGTCTTCACTTAATACAGTGTATGTTGCTTGTAGCTAATTAAAACCCCCACAAACCACAGATAGTTTGATTTTAGGTGTTACGAATTACTTGGAGTTCATTGAGAAATTATAACAATTAACCTTTTATGCTGTGGATGATACTTAAAATGTACACAAAGTGACTTGTCATCACACTAGAAAGCCTCACGTGATACTACCTAAAAGCATCCTAGTGTTAACAATAACAAATACATTTAACCTCATCCAGTGAATTATGTTCTGCTATGAAGGACCTGCTAATTATGTGAGAAGTCTCTAGGATCAACAAGTTCATAAAAGTTAACTTCAGTGCATGGTCTGAAATAATTCTGAACTGTCTTTCCTGTGTCCTCTTTTCATTTTGGTCTTTATCTCACTTTTCTCTACTTTCTCATTCTCCGACCTATTTGAGCATTTCCCCTAACATTTCAAAACTTAGTGTGGTGTTATCTCCATTGAATTGTGCTCCAAATCCCTAACTATTTCGTGCTTTCAGGAAAATGTAAGTCTAGCCCAGGAATTCATGCTAGTAAGACAAAAGTTTATTTTAACTTTGAGCATGTTGGCCAGCCAACAGATAGATTTGGTCCCAAGACCTTCAGGTCTCTGACAGGAAAACAAACATACTTTACTGAGGGGTAGGCAGAGAATTTTTTTTGTTGTTTTGGTTTAGTTACATGTCCTGACCTTTCTTTGAGGACTTAAGCATTTGACAGTCATTGCTTTAATGTGCTCATCTTGACTCTTTTGCACATGTAGCTCTGCTGTACTTTGTCCAAGAATTGGAACAAATTCCTGTTAACATGATTAGGAATAAAAAAATAACACCTTAATATCAGTAGAGGAATGATCAATGTGAAACATTTTCTTATGAAGCATACATAGGTCGAGTGTGTGGAGGTGTCAATTCCTCAGTACTATCTTGAGTGTAGTGATAGACTAATGTTACCTAATAAACCTGCAGTTTTAGTCATATAAGTACAAGTGTCAATTAAGGGTAATTTTAAGGTGTCTTAATGACTTGTTTAAAGATTTCAGTACAGAAATTTTTACATGTAATACTGAGGATTTCTCTTCAGCCACACTAAGCTTAGCAAGCAGCTGGGTATGAGATAAAGCACTTGCCACTTTCAGTGATCAGAGGCAAGTAGCCAGTTGGAACAGCCATGTGGTTACACTAATTTAGCTGAGCTTGGTTGGAGCTGACCACAAAATTCTCAATTCATGGATGGAATTCAAGTGGAATTTTTTGTTGGGGTGAGAGTCCCTGATTAATCCAGTGTCTGTGTTAGGCAAACTCAGCTGTCTCTTCTACAGTCTGTGTTTGTTGTACTCTTACCTGAAGCCAATGAAACATATAAATTATTGTTATTTAAATTGCTGTGTGATGTTCTTAACTAGCACCATGCCACTTTTACAACAGTATGCTGATGATTGATTGAGTTTTCTGAAATGGTTCATTTGGTTTCGTGATGAAGTTAAGTCACTTGAGTCAGGTTTGAATCTCCTATTGCTCCAACAGAAGGGGATCTTAAAACTGTCTAAACAGGAATATATTTCTAAAGCCTGAAAAAGTATGTGATAACTCACAGTTGTTAACATGATTGATTTCTAAATAATCTGTAGAGTGTGTCTTGCATCCAGGTAATAGTACCTGTAGAGGTAGGAGTTTTAGTGCTAATTACAAATTATAGAGGTTGTTAATCACATTTTTAAGCCCCCTATCTGGTGAGTTTAGAAATTACAAAAAAAGTCTCTATCATGGAATGGTTTGAAGTAGTTCGCAGCTTAGTCCAATGTGCAGTATTTCCAGTTTTTATACGCTACAGATAGCTCATGAAAAAAATAGATATGATCTCAAGAAGCAGGGATTGCAATGATCTGGTGACTGCTGAAGTGATCTCAAAGATTGCTCCTGAAAAAAGTGGGCCCTCAGGAAGGCACAAGCGAGATTCAGAAGTAGAAACTGAAAAGAAGACGAAAGGTGTACATTGCTGTAATACTAACAATCAAGAAGGCAAGGAAAGTTTTGGAGATAAAGTCACCTGCACGTTTGGTATAAACATTTGCTTAACAGTTCTTTCTAGCAAATTACCAGCCTTTTAGAAACAAATCTGATAAAGTACTTAAAAGTTCTTACAGACAAAAATACTGGTTCAAAATTGGTTTCTTCAAGCATTTTGATGTTGCTGGTACTTAACCTCAAATATATAGCCAGTAACTTCCCCCAGCTAATAATAGTTTCTTAGATGCTTCCTTACCGGTGTGGCCAGAACGTCTTAGTCTTAAACAATTCAGTACCTACCTTTTGCACAAGCCTGTTTAGTAGGAATGCACTGGTTACCAAATGTGTCAGATAATCCAGTTTTGGCTGTCTTTCAAAAGATAACTAAGAAGGTCACAAAGGGATTCTAGTATTCATTCAGGCACTGGCAAAACGGGAAGCTGGACCCATGTCTTTGGGTTAGAGTCGTGATGACCATTCCATTGGCAGTTTTGGGATGTTAAGAAATCTAGTCTTTCTATTGAATATACCTATTGTGGCATAGAACTAAGAAGAATACATAGAATAACATAGAATTTGCATATGGAAAACATGTCTGGTGTGTGGCAGGCATAAAAGAAAGAGTGCCAGTCTGCTTCCAGCTCCCAGTATTTTTCAGGCAGTTCTCAAATACAAAATACATCAACTAGTCATTTGAACAGAAACTGAAGTTTCAGTGCAGCCTTAACTTGATCCATGGAGAGCAATTGCTGCTTCTGTTTGTAATGAAAACCTATTGCATTGACCTTCTTGTGCCATGCTTTAAATTTCTGTGGCAAGTAAGGGAAAAAAACCCCAAAAACTTATATAGCTGTTTCAGGAGCTATAGTGTAAAACAGCACTGCCATGTGCCCAGGTATAACTGTTAAATCTAACTAATAATAAAGACAAAGAGACTACCTCAGCCTGACTTTGTACACTTAATCTTACCCATAAAACTGGATTATGTAGTTTGTAATTACAGCAAACGTAGAGTACAACCATCTGAATTGTAAAGGTAGTAAATTATCCTACTCACAGGGAGTACAGTGAGGGGTGGAAAGTTGGAGAAGCATGTGAACTATAGGGTGTAGTTGCATCTGCATAAAATATCTACCATGTCAGCATTTCTGGAGTGTCCTTGAAGACCACTTACTACTGCTTTTATATGAAACAAGCAGTCCTAACTATTTTTTTTCCCTCCTCAGACTACACATCCAAATTACTGAAGGTCCAGTTATTTATGGCTACTACTTGCACCATTCAGGAGGAAGAGTTCATGAAAGTCTCCTCAATCTGTTTGACCCAAGCGTCAGGGATTCCCTGCATCTAATCCTACTGCTTGGATAGAGCCCTAGATGGTCTTACTATGTTCAAAAAAACCCAAACAAAAAAACCCCCAGCAATTTGAGCAAGTACCAGCATAGAAAAACTTATAGCTCTAAATTTATGTAATGAAGAAATCAGAAAGAAGACTTCTATTCTCCATGCTAAGCCCTGACCCAAAGTTGTAGCTGAGAAACGAGTGAGTGGGCCAAGAATGTATCTTTAGCTCGTTGTCATAGATCTTCATACCTCATAAATACTCTTTGTCATGTATCCTTGTAATGACTGGCAGTGTGCCTGCCTAACATGACAATTGGTACATTTGTAAGTGTAATATACCTTGATATTTTAATCTTTATTTATGCAGGGACTCAAACCAATAGTTTCCACTGAATCCCCAGCTCTGGTTCTTGGGACAACAACTAAACTTGCTTCAGATTTACCACCAACTGATTCTTTCTTGGGTAAAAACAAGGTGCCAGACCTACAGAAACTTTTTCAGGTAACAACAACTTTGAGAGTAACTTAAAGAAAACTGGAAAGTGGTACCTATCTTTCCTTATTTTCACGTGGCTAACTGCTTTTGTCATTCTACGATACCAAAAATCTGTGAAGTCTAATTAAGAAAGCATCAAATACAGTATAACCTGTATACTTGTACTTACTACAAGGTATATATGGCTTGTATAGGAGATACATTAAGAAAGTGTCTAGTCACATTATCTTATCTTTTCACTGGCTTCAAAAGATGCGTATTTCATTGTTTGACTACTGAAAGCACTGTCAGGGAATCCAAGCCTATGCCTTAAAGCAGATTGTTACTGTTTCATATATAATAATTTGAATATTATTGAAACTGTAATGCAATATGAGAAGAGCACAGTAAAGTTTTCAAAGCCAGCTTGTTAGCTGTGCAATTTCTAAGCATATGGGGTCTTTTTGTAACAAAATCGTTTAAGCTTTTTTTCTTTTAAAACACTAGGAATGTGTTCTATATAATATACCCTTTTCTCTCTTACATGCCACTTGCATTTGGAATGTGTCAGTCTGACTTGGTGAATAACCTTTTATACATATCTTTTCACATTGTTTTGCTAGTGACACTTCCTGTCTAGGTCCTCCTGAGAAATATTTTAACAGTCTTTCTGCCTGCATTTAACAGCTTTGACTAATGAAATTAACTTGCCTTTGCACTTGTCTTGCTAAATGAAACACAGATAATACACTTAATTTCTCCCTTATGGAAGTCTTTTAATTTACCCAGGGTAGCTTGTTCCGTGTGACCTGAGTAATGGGTGTTCATTTCTTTCTTTGTTTTCTTTTTACACTCTTCCCGCAGAGAGCAGATGGATTGCCAGTACACCTGAAGCGAGGAGTTCCAGATAAGCTGCTTTATCGGACCACTATGGCTCTAACAATAGGCGGGACTATCTACTGTCTAGTAGCACTGTACATGGCCTCACAACCAAGAAACCAAAAGTGAATGAACCACAACTCATGGGACTCATGACACTTCTTTGAAGGACCTCCTGCATATATCTCTTTGCACTTGCTTTAATTATGTGATCATGCAGGGTTCATTATTCACATCAGATTTCTTGAAGACAGTGTTTTAAAGTGGTTGCCTTATGTGTTTTAGAAATCAATATAAACAGACTTAAAGACATCATCTTAACATATTGTCGTATCTTTGCGTTTGTTGTCTTGCAAGAATAGATGAACAGTTGGAGAAATTTAAGCTTTTCCTTCTTCCCCTCCCCCAATTATACAATGTTACAGATAGGATAGGACAAATACTTTGAGAGCCATGATCCACAGTCATAAGTGGGAGGATGCTGCTGGTTTCCAAAACTCTAAAAGCAAATAATTTAATTATAACAACGTACTGGGAACCTGTTTCTGTCACACGCAGCCCATTTTACATAAGCAGGTGACAGTGGAACTTCTGAATGCTGGTATATTATTAAATATTTGTACCTCTGGTGATAGGACAAAGGGCTTATCTCCTTGGAGCATTCCAAGTGGATTTACTCCATAGTGCTAACATCACTGTATGCAGCAGGATGCACCAGTATTAGAATGTATTCAGTTATACCATGTTTTGGACTTTCATTTGTCAAATTGTCTTCACGTGCGATAAAGATAACTACATGAATAATGAAACAGGCAAGTCTTGAAAGTTTTAGACCACTTCAGCTGGACTGGTAATGAAGTAAACATATTGGTACAGTTTTGTTTAAATTCAACTTGTAGATCTCAAGTAAGACAACTGATTCAACTACTTTTTTGTAATCTTTTTGAGATGGTAATCCTCTTAAAAACCTCTCTTAGAACTGATCAGGTGTTTAACTATAATTTTTGGTCAAGCAGGTCATTGTCATAACTCAGCAGTGTATGACTTTCAGTGCACATACATCTGTATGTACACACATAGACACACATTTCCTTTGCTGTGTGGGTGGAAGAGAGAGAAGCCAATAAAGCCCCTTCTGCTTTGTCTTTCCTATGTAATATCATAGCCTTAAACTGCAAGTTTCACACAAGTCTTCACAATAAGCATCCTCTAATTTGATAGATCATCCTCTGTCTTGAACATAGAGTATTCATCTTGGTCAGCCAGGCTCTGAATAAACATGGACTCACTAGTCTCTCTAAAGACCCATCTGTCTCCCAGATCTATGCAGAAATCACCTTCCATATAAATAAGGGAAACTGTTGATAAAGAAACTTAAAATTCCCATTGCTTTCATCTTTTACTAAAAACATACGGATTCTTTTTTTCCAGTCAAGTTATATCAAAGTCTAATTACTGTTCCACAGGAAAGAGAATAGCTGCTTCTACTGTGATCTTGGATTTTAGTCAATGTTAGTATTACAGACAGGGATGGGATTAAGGGAGGGATTAAGTCCCTGAAAAAGAAATTTGTAAGGACAGCAAGACTGAAAGAATAGTAGAGAATAATTAAGTTTTCCAGGAACTGACAGCTGTGTTGCCTCTGCAAATGAAATGTTTTATTCTTAGTACCCCATGCTCCCATAGCACCAAGAATCTTGTGCTATAGGCTGTCAAGTCCTATGTAAAAAAAAATATATTAAAAAGTAAAGAAAGCATAATGGTAGTTATTGTTCATCTTTCCTGCATATCATATATTAAGAACTACCTACAAAAATCTTCTAATGAAAGATACTTTGCACAACAACTTGACAAGTAGATTTTCACGAGGATGAGTTTTTATCAGAGAATTTCTATGCTCTCTTTTTAAAAGAAGAAATCCAACTATTTTTAGAGTTCACATAGAAGATAAAAAACTTTCTGCTTGTTGCTAAGGCAGATGTGGGTAAAGTAACTAAACTGTTACCCATAGTTCATTAACCAGTCAAAATACTCTTTCAAGTCCTTGTGGAAAAAACAACATCAGAGACATATCACTGAGATCCAGCTTTCTTAAAGGGAACTCAGCTAGGATATTGGGTTCATGTATTGTTATAGAAGTCATGGTTCAAGCGATGGGTATCAGAATTTTCTTTCCTATTGCCCTGGATCTAGCTTTCTCCAGCTCTTTGTCAGCAGCTAAAAACCAGTGTGCTAAAGGGAAAAGAAAACACCATTAAATTTTGCAAATAACCAGATTCTAGATAATCCATTATTTTCTTTTTTTTTGTGGTGTTTGGATTTTGATAAACTATTTTTATTTGCCCTTCTCAAAAAAGCTGACACAGTTGAAGCTGGGTGAGAATGCTGCATCAGCTTGTCAGTCGCATCCCTGGTTCAGTTGGAGGTTAAAGAACAAAGGGGCATTGCTTGTCTGCAGCTATTGGGCAGGGCTCCAGGCATGAGAGAAAAAAAGAGACTGCATTTCTATATTCTCACTGCAAAGCGCTCTGAAGAACAAGAATACTGGCAAGCTGTAAGCCCTTTTCTCCTTTAGTTTTGAGATTATCATAAAGGAATTTCAAGACTTTAAGTAATTTATCTTCCTAGAAAAAAAGCTCTGTTAGGTATGTATTAAATATTTCTGATGCTGGACTTACTTGCTGGATTCAATAAGGTTTAAGTGTTTTGAACTACTGTTTGTGATAGAATGACCTAATCCTAAATCCTCAAGACGACCCTGACCTTTAAAAGGAATAGTCTGTCTCTGGCCTGATATTAAATAAGGTCTTAAGTAAGGAGAACCAGGAGCAAATTGCGGCATAGAGAAAGGTACTTCAGCATTTTGTGTTTTGTCATCCCCACAAGCAAGGATCTGATTTACATACTACAACTTCAGTATGTGGGTTATGTTCTGTGGTTCTGTGGCTTGTTTTGTTTTCTTTAGAGAGACTCTCAGTTTTGGTTTAGAAGTTATGCAGCCTACCAACAATCAGAACTGAGAAAACAAGATGACTTTTGAAGTGCTAGCTTACACTCTAGTGTTTTGGCTTGAGTATAAAGTGAAGAATACATTCTAATAAGTTCTCATACCTCAAGGTGCTGGGTTTGGAGGGGAAAGCAGCTGAGATTTACAGTACTTGGGAACAAAATTATCTCATGGGTAATCATCCATCTCCCATGGCTTTATCTTATTGTTGAGACAGTGGTTTTCCTTCCTAAATGATCTCTCTGGCAACTTGAATGCAATAGTTATATCTTTGCAATGTTTTTAAAATAAGATCTCCTTCCCTACTCTTTATGTGGATGTAGAAGAACCAATGCACTTGAGAATTTATAGTATGTGCGTATCTCTTTCAGCTGCTTTTAAAATATGGTAAGGAGAGGATTCCTTCACAATGTTTCAGTATGACCCTACCATCTCAAGAGACTTTTGCCTTAATATTCAGTGTTGTCAATAGACTGATTATTTGACAATAATTGATTCATCTTCCCTTAAAGTAAATCTTGCCAAAGGCACTGCAAGGAATAAGTAAGAGAAACTAGGAAAATGGGAATCTAATCTTACAGATATCAAAAAGCTAGAGGGTGTTTTAAGAGCTGTTTCCTCACATAGTACTTACTCCCTCTTTACTCTCCTTTCTCCAAACTTAAGCTTTCTAAGAGACTTCAGAAGACTCACAGATCAGTTTTTTTTCCACTCCTGTCACAAACCATTACCCTCTGCAGACCTTAATATTTAAAAAAATCCGAATACTCTTACATAAAGAGGAAAAAAAATGCATCGATTGGGCAAGCTGCATGTAAAATCATCCTGAACTGTTCTAAAAAAAAAAAAGTTACAAGCTACTTGCATTTTATAACATACTAACTTTTCCCCTCCCCCATCCTGCCCTTAAACTCAGTCAAAAGTTTCACAGGAAGCCAAAGTCTGATCTTTTTAAAATGGAAAATGGGAAGAACTTTCCCGTTAACCTTAGCGTGAATTTTACCAACAGGCATGAAAACCAAGCTTTTAAGTGGTTTGCGTCTTCAGTACTAATTGTGTCTTAGTTTATTAAAGATTACTTCATTAATTTGAATCAATTCCAGTTAGCTGCAGTGCAAGTGATGCACAGATTGGGAAGAGGCAGAAGCATATTTGCTGTGAAAGGGAGTGAAAGTGTGCCTGTGAATCAGGAAACAGTATTCTATCAAGTATCAACATGGCTTCTCACTACTAGCAGATCTTCTCTTTACTCAGTGGATCCAGTGCTGCAAAAGTAGGGGGGTGGGAGGAAGGGGGAGGTAGTTTGCCTCTCTTCATGCCAGCTGCATATCACCATCACTTTTCTCCATTCCTTACTCCCACATTTCTTTTCTTGAAGACCATGAAAATTTTCCTAGTAGACTTAATTCTTTTCGCAGCCTTTTAAAAATATTTCATGCCACAAAAGGAATTAAAGTGTTTTGAAGTGCAAAAGAGCTTCTGATATATTTGTATCAGAAAGTATACATTTGTCACATTGACTCTGCAAGTTGGAACAAGCCCTGGAAGTCTCCCTGGTGAAGTATTTGATCCCGTCAACCCAGCAATTCGCATCTGTGCCAGGTGCACAGGTAAGCCCCTTACTACAGCAGCAAGTCTTTGAAGAAGCTGTTAAATATAGGTGTATGGAATGACTGGCTGGTTCCATGCACCCAACTGTATTTAAAAAGGAAAAAAGAAAACAGAAAGGGAAACACTTCTTCCATGCAACATTGTTACATCTACAGTCATTTACCTCAGATGTGTATAGTACCCTTTTTTGTATCTTCCATGCAAGTCACATCAAATTTACTATTCATTGCTTATGATTTGGTGCTACCTCAAACATCCTAGATTCCCTTTCCAATTTCATCACTGAGCTCTTAATTTTGAGCACCCAAAATTAGAAATTCAGACATTAATTATAATTTTTGTCTGTTACTTTCACCTGGGACATAGGGCAGATAGAGCTAACAGCATCCATAGCAGAGTTAACAAGGTATCATGAAAGCCATCTTTAGTGTTTTGCATAGCTCCTCATTACGCATAAGGAAGATGCTCTGTCTAACCTGTAGCTGCTTACCTAATTGCAAAACATTTGAGTATTGTCTAATACACAATAGTTCACAAGTGCAAGTTGCATCTTCCTTTAAACTAAACCATAAGAGCACTTTGGAAGAAGATA